TTATATTGATTCAACAGTTAGTATATTAGGAAGACTATAGCATGATTAGGCTCCACAAAGTCCTGGAATTTAAACAGGTCAATTGTCCGATATGTTTTTTTGGTTAAATTTTAACAGATCCAGATGCAGAAGTCATTGCTCTTTCACCAAAAACACTCATGGCTACCAACAGATTCATCTGTGAAATCTGCAAGAAAGGTTTCCAAAGGGACCAAAATTTGCAGCTCCACAGAAGAGGACACAATCTTCCATGGAAACTTAAGCAAAGGGCTAACAAAGATCAGATAAAAAAGAAGGTCTACATATGCCCGGAAAAGACCTGCGTTCACCACGACCCGTCCCGGGCTCTCGGGGACCTCACCGGGGTCAAGAAGCACTTCAGCAGGAAACATGGTGAGAAGAAGTGGAAATGTGAGAAATGTTCAAAGAAATATGCTGTTCAGTCAGACTGGAAAGCTCATTCTAAGACTTGTGGGTCTAGGGAATATAAATGTGACTGTGGAACTCTTTTTTCCAGGTACTTCTAATTTAATTCAACCCGAACTTATGCTTCTTGTTTGGGAATATTTGTTCCAAGAAATAAATGTTGCTCATAATTTCAACCAATGATTGAGTAATAATTGCAAATTCATTAATACAGGAAGGACAGTTTTATTACACACAGAGCTTTCTGTGATGCCTTAGCTGAAGAGAGTGCAAGATCATTTGGAGCCAATAATTTGAACTTCAGAAATGATTTGAATGGGAATCTGACGAACCATCAACAGAATTTGGATCATGGGTTTTCTGGAATTCCCCTTCTTGGAGCTGGTTTTAGACCAGATTTTACCGGTATGGCCCCGGCCGGGAATTCTGATCAGAAGCCTAGATTATCACTTTGGTTGGATCAAGGGAATTCTCAGCTCAATCCAATTTATGCAAATTCAAATCTTTTCATGCCTAATATGATGCAAATGTCATCGAATAACAATGTTTTCGACTCGTCAAATCAGTTTCCATGGCTGGAAAGAACAGCAGCCTCTGCAAATCTCTCTTTGTTCCCACCACAAGGCCTAAAGGAAGAGGCAGTGAGTAGCAAAGGGTTAACAATGGCGGCAGCAGAATCCCTTTCTTCCTTATACTCTGATAATCAGAATCTTCACTTGAACTCTTCAGCGTCTGCATCAATGTCTGCAACTGCACTTCTGCAAAAGGCAGCTCAAATGGGATCGACCAAAAGCAATCAAACATTCTTCAACAATCCCATAAACAGAAGTGAATTGCACCAGGTTTTCAAACAGCAGGCACTGGAGAATTCACC